CCATTGTTAGGACTATTGGTGAGCTGTAAACTATGCATATGTTTCTCCGTTATTGGGCTTGTTCCTGTGTGTCCTCCAGCTGGCCAGCAGACATGTATGCATACATACACAGTAGATGTATATCCTCTGCTGTTGTGGTTCCATCTTTATGCAGAGATCTGTAATGTGTTAGATGAACATGGACACAGCCTTTATTAAAGTTTCTCTGTGAGAAGGTACTCCAGTGATTCAGTATTTCACTTAATTTCACCTGATGACACATTCAGGATAATTATTCAGACTTTAGAAAGCTCCAGAGACACAGAAGACATGTGAAACATTCAGGAGGATCTATTGGCAGATTTGGAATATAATATTCATAGGTATGTTTTCATTAATGTAAAATCACCAGAAATAAGAATAATTGTGTGTTCTTTACCTTAGAATGAGCATTTTATGTCTATGCCTTTAATGGAATTTCTCCAGTAGCCCAGACAGGACAAACCAAACAGTGGCAGCATGAATTTATTTTTTTCAAAAAAAAAGTTGATTGATGAAAACACGGCTAATATGACTAACATTTACTAACTTTAGCCCACCCAAAGATATTGACTGGTACAGGTCATACCAGACCAAGTAAAGCGGCAGCAGCAAAACCCCTGAGTGTAATGAATTAATGTTGCATATTGTTATTTAGAAATGTAACATTTAATTCGTAGGAATAAGACTATTTTTTTCTTTCAGAATTTCAGAAAAAGTCTCACTTTAATGTGTAAGGTTTGTACTTCAAAAACTTGTTAGGTTGTAAGAAGTATTTGTTTTAAAGGTGTCTGTACAAAGAAACCTTGAAAGGAGATGACATTTGATGGCAGCTGACAGCTTTCCTTTACACACTGTAAAACTTAAAATTAAAATTAAAAAGTAAACTTAAATTGATCATTCAAAACAAATAGGAAATATAGTAAATATAAATTTAGTAAATATTTAACACATGAGGTAACTCATATCATACATATGCCGTATTTCTCCCACGTAATTACCACACATAGACATGGTAAGTATACATCAGAAACAAAGCAATACGAACATGAACATTTGTCTACACTTGCACTCCCTTTTCCCCCTCCACCTCCCCGAGTTTCAGGTTCCTAGAAAGGCAGTTTTCTGCCACCATCAGGGGAACAAGAATCCCCTGAACCCCTCAAAACAAATGAGACAGAAACCCACCGAACCCACCAGCCCGTCTCAGCTCCCTGCACTCCTCTCGTCTGCTCTCCCTGACAGCCCCTGGGAGAAGGTTGCAAGCCCCCCACCACATCAACCACAATGCTCTGACATGTCTCTCTTCATGCACATCAAGGCAAACTCATCTCCATTTTCCGCTGCTCACACCAGGAGTCAAATGAGATCTTTGCAAAAATACAGCCACTTTGAGAAATGTTATGTATGGTTTCAGTTTATATGTGGCCCTCGATGATTTGATTTCAATCTGAGGTCAGATTCAAACCTCTTACTTGACTTTACTTGTCATCATACACGTACACATCATACTTTTTTCATGAGTTAAAAAAACTGCTAATTTAGTGATTGTTGAAGCAAGGGTTTTTTGTTATTGTCTTGTCAACTAATAGTAGCTTTTTATTATGGATTTGTGTGTCTAATGATAGTGAGTCAACTGCAGTCATGTGTCCGTAATTGGGTAGATAAAATTTTCAGGTAGGAATTCCCCCCAAAGGATTGTGTCCATCAGTGTGGTTAATTTTTTTCATTGTTTCATTAGAATAGTGTAACTAGAGAACAACTAATTTATTAAAACCAGTCACACTCAAAGTGTGAATGTAATCATATATTGTAGGATGTTTATTTTTAAACAATCAGGAAACGCCAATGGTTGCCTTGTATGACTTTCAGCATTAGAGTGAAATTGAAAGAAAGGTCATTTAGAATTTATAAGATGTAGAATCCACTGTACTTTTTCTTTGAGAGTAACCAGAGATAAAGCTACATACTGCATTATATCATAATGACCCTGGAGGCTTTGTGGATTGTTAGGCAAAGGTTAGGCAAAGGCAAAGGCAAAGGTTAGGCAAAGGAGTATGTCATCTGCATATAGACTGATTTGTGTACTTTCATTTAAACCAGATATGCTTTCCTGTTGATGGAAAGCCCTGCAAGTGGAATGATATACAGTAACTATATATAAACCATATATACTACACTACTCCATATACACATATCGAGTAGTGTACTACTAGCTACTAAGCTCGTGCAGATGCAGCATAGAACAGAAATACACTCACTGGCATAGGTTAAGGTACATTAAGTTAAGAGCTGAGCTAAACCAGCTTGGACGTAAGGCTGCTCCACTACCAAGCCTACTCTTGTTGAATGTGGGGTCGCATGGGATGGATGAAATGGGACTCAGGAAACTAGACATTAGAAACAAATTACAGACCTGGTTTCACTACAACATCCCAGATTAAGCTGTTGAACGAAACAGCCGGACCGTGTTCTCCACTGACAAAAGGCAAGACGAAGGGGTGGCGGGCTGCCTCAATGATGCTTGGTACTCAAATGTAGTCTAAGTTGTAGTCAATGTTTCCCAGATGTCGAGTTTTTAATGTTAAGATGCTGACTGTATCATCATCACTATCTTGTTGATGCTGTTTACATTCGCCCAGATGCAAAGTCAAAAAACAGAATTATTACTTTCTGGGTAATGCATGTATAAATAACTGTATATAGTATATTATTTTGTTTAATGATATTCTAAATCAAATTTTTTGTATATTTGGTTTATGTATGTGTAGCATGAATGGGCTACAACTTACATTTTATTGTGTTGTAAAATGACAAATAAATTAACTTATTAAGCAAATTGGATTTTGCGATGATTGTATAAATCCATCATTTGGCAACCTGGAAAGGTTTAACCTTTTTAGATTAAATGTAGAAACTTCTTGTAAGACTTTAATGTTTCTGGGTTTTTTTTGTTCCTTTTTTGAGAGGAAACGTTTATAATTCTTAGTGTTAATACAATATCATCTTATGTCATTCCAATCACAAAGTTTGCTTTAAGGCTGCCATCAACTTGATTAGGGATTGAAGCTATTGGTTTGGGTCTGGAAATAGCTTTATAATTGTTTAATAAATGATTATTTTATACATTTTTCAGATAATTTGTAACTTTTGAAGATGGTACACCAAGTTTGTAAATAGTGAAATGAAAGGTATTGAACATATGAACATTTAACAAATCATTTACAAATAAAGTTGTTGTTTTCTATTGGAAGGGTAGATGCTAGTTAATGTGTTGTATGTATGTATAAAGTTAGTTGCAGCTGATGCTACGCTCTGGTAAATGTGTTCAGGGGGCGGATGCTTCATATCTTGTTAGGAAGAAGGAGGAACTTTGCAAGTTGTATTGACAAGCCACATGCAGCACGATGACTCAGTACCAGTTGGTTCTCTTTTCTTTTGACATGTGTTTCCTCTTTTTGTGTAATACTTAAATATTTACAAATATTCATTAGAAAGTTAATTTGCAGTTACACCTTTTTAAGTGTTTTCAGTACATACTAATTATTATTTAATACTTGTCATAAATTACAAATTATATAACAGATAACTACTAAAAACTTCTTGTCATTTATAAATGGCTACAAATTATTTGATAACAGTTAGCTTATTAGAAGAAAAAGCTATAATCTCCCTTGTAATGATTGCTTTAGCTCCCTCCCTTTTCTAATGCCAGTGTTAGCTTCATTGCTATTATGGCATGATCTGATATATCTATCTTGCCCATATAGCCGTGTTTTACTTTTTCTAATCAGAGTTATAAATAATTTAAAAAAAGAATCTAGTCTTGAATATTTATTATTGGCTTTTGAGTGGTACGTATAGTCTTTTTCTTGGGGATGTAACGGTCTCCAAACATCTATAATACTAATTTCTGCTTCTCCCCTCTTAAACAATACTTACAGTAGCCTATGTTTTTTCAGATTGATGTTTTATGCTATGCTGACAGTATAACTTTGGATCTATAATCAAGTTGAAGTCTCCCACAATTATTGTTGTACCCTTTGCTTCTGCTTTCCAAGCTTTCAAATATAAAAATGAAAAAATATGAAAAATATTTTGTGAAACAAGACAGGACAGACTTCACACATTGTATGACAGAAAAACAAAAAACAAATTGTAAAAAAAGCTATTGTAAAGGATTACAGTATTTCTGTGTGAGTGTATATGTAAGTGTTGAGGAGCAACAAGGGGGAGTGTTGTGTTAGCTGAGAAATAGGAAGAGGAGCTTTCCGAGTTGTTATTTTAAATAAAATAATTTAAAGCAGCTTATTTTCAATGTCTTCCTGACAAAAAGGTTAGACAGGTTATATAGTTAAGTGGTTTAAATGAAGTTGGTGAAAAAAGAAAAAAATCTCCCTCTTCTCACAGGTGGAACTATGTGGGATTTCTGGGTACCACATGAGAGCACACACACACACACACACACACACACACACACACACACACACACACACACACACACACACACACACACAGTACAAAAACAGACTCACAGGTATTAAAAAAAGTGCAATGTGCAATTGGCAACTCAGTAGCAAAGGTCCATGTGTTCACATGAGAACGATGAGATATTCAAACTTTCCAAAGGATGCTCAGTTTACAGTCCACCCACATGAACAGTCATTATAGTGGTAAATCCAGTACTGATACTTTGAGCCTATTGGCCCCACAGCAATTAAGGTTTCATCTTGACTTTGGTCTCATCACATGTTTATTCACAGTGGGTCCAAAATCTAAACTGTACAGTCAGCCAAACCTTTGGAGAAGACCGAGATGTTGTCATTTTTTAAAGACTGGTCAAAATAAGGGAAGCAAGCTAGGTAAAACCTCCAAAAATGGACTGAAAAAAGAAGGACATTTTGAAAGTTATTCAATTCAATTTGAAATTATAGTTTTAATTACTTTTTAATTTCAATTAACTTTTGAGGCATTTTTTCCCTCCGATACCTCAAGTCCCACAATCCTCAGCAGCGTTTCAAAATCAAATCAAATCTCTTTGAGTCATGTCATCAGTCAATGGGTGTGAGAAAGAGAAAAGAGGACGTTGCCAGAAACAAAGACACAAGAAAGGCTCTCTACATTCAGCTGCGCAATACAGAGGTAAGATAACCAATTCAGCTAGAATCTCATTGTTATAGTATCAAGGTTATTTTCAATTTATACATTTTTTGACATTTTGTTATGTAACTACAATATGGCAAATTCAAGCTACCCACACACTTCTTCTGTGAAACTTCACGTTGTGATGGATATTATTTTATACATTTAAAAGTTACTAAATACATCATATTAATTATAGATGCAAAATCTCCATGAAGATTTACTGGAAAGAATCTGAAACAAGTTTGTAACTAAAATTTAACTAAAAAAGTAACTAGTCTGCAGCGTAGTTCTCCGGAGTGTCTTTTAGTTTTCCTTTCAGGCTTTCCTCTTGTTTACCTTATGATCAGAAGTTAAAATCAACTCATACCAAAGCAGTTTTAAGAAATGATTTGCCAAATATCTTGTGATAAAATAATACATGTAGCACTTGGTATATACACTTGATCGATTTGTTTAATTTTGGTAATATGGAAATAAGATTCCTAAATCTAAAATCATTCTGCTGTTGTTCTAAATGTCTAAATACGGCAGTTCAAATGGAAGTATAGAAAGTGTACCACAGTGTCAGTTTAGAAGTAGTCCACAACACCTCAGCAGGGTTATCCTTAGTGAAAGCCCTGAAACTTTTGTGCAGGTGGCACGCTGTATTTGTTAAGGAAACCTCAAGCTTTGGCATTGTAACTGAACATTCACCAACAGGTGTGTGACATCTGAGTGTGTGAGGCTCTAAAAGTGACATGAAAGAGACGACTTTTCACACTCCTGCAGGTTTTCTCTGCAGGATTTTTAGCTCCCTTAGTCTCCTTCTGCCATGCCACGGTCGTTCCTTGTCAGGAGCAAAAGGACCCATCTAACTGGCCAATCCAAGGACTCCTTTAGACAACACTTCCAGCCCAAAACAGATGCCAACCAACCTGTGCAGCATGCAGTGGGACAGGAGAGGACGTATCCTGAAGATGATGTGCAGCCTTTGTCCCCCAAGGTAGGGGTCAAAGACTTTCTGGCTGAAGGCTGCCCACCGTGGGATGGGACGGCAGTCCAGTCTCACAGTGCCCCCACAGATGATCCTTGGCCTTCAGGTACCTAACAAATCCTCTATTAGTGAAAAGTTTTATTTTTTGTGACTGTAAAATTGTTATAAGGTAGTAAATGTTGTTTGAATGGCATGTGAAGGTGTTCATTTGACACAAAGGGGAGATGAAGATGACAAGTTATGAAATATTCTGGATTTATTTTGTAAACTCAGCCGAGACTCTAAATTCCCAACCTTTCTCTAAACTCTAAATTAAAGACATTCCCATCATCATCTGTCTTTTTGTATTCTGACAAAAGCCCCTGTGGAGAAAAGAGACACTCCTCTGCTGGTATCACCATGGTTGGTGGACAGAAACCAGGCATCTGAAAGAGAAAGAGAACTGGAGAGACTGGTCTTCATGTTACTCAACCACACATCACACACTGACCTCAAATCTCGCGTCAGCGAGTGTCCACTATGTGAAAAGGTAGGTGGCCCTTACTGTGTGTATTTATCTGCTATTATAATGAAAAGAAGAAGTCAGAGTGACTAACGATAAAAGTAACTGGCAACATGTCAGAGGGTGACACAGCAGAGTGGTGGGTGCAGTCTGTGCTGCTCTACAGGAGTATGACTGACATTGTTCTCGTTGTTGTGGAGATATTTTGCAATAGAAAGTAGATATTAAAAGTAATATCCAAAAAGATAACTGGTCTGCACTGAACTTCACGAAAAGATATCTGCATTTTACTTCTGCCAGTGAAAGCTATGGAGGGAAAATAGTGCATGTAATTGATTCTATTTTCTTTCCATAAAACAGCCAAAATAAGTGATCATTAGCAGTAAATATCTGTCACCAATCACTTAACTAGAGCCTGATTGATATTGGATTTTTTAGATTGATGCTGATATCAATAACCTTTTAATAATATACACAATATATCAGCTAATTTTTTTGATTAATGTTTGATTAGGATACCTTAGAGGTCCAGTGTGTAATATAGTCTCTATTGGCAGAAACTGAATAGAAACTAAATATAATATAGCTATTAGTGCATACTACTACTACTACTACAAATAATAATAATAATGATAAAGTTGTCAATGGTTTCTTTATGGACAAGCTAAGTAGTGGTGTCACTGTTCTTTAAATGACCACAAACATATCCTCAAGCATTTCTAGTTACTTATCAGCTGATATTACACACACAGATATATCTGCAATAGGCTATCGATCAATAGGCCTATACCAATCAGGTTGACCAGGTCTAGCTCTTCATATAGTTTGCCATTTTGGGAAATGTGCTTATTTCACTTTCTGGTACAAAGTTAGATGAGAAGATTGATATTCTCTGCTGCCAGCATGCAGCTGGTTAGCTTAGCTTAGCATAAATACTGGAAGCAGGGGGAAACTGTTAGCATGGCTCTGTCCAATGGCACCAAAATCTGAAAAACAGATGAACGTTGTTTGATTTATTTCAGTTCTACCGGAGGTTACATATGTGTCACACTGTTTCCTGGCTCTAAGTAGCTGCTAGGCAACCAGCGGAGACCTAGAAGTGTTGGTGGGCAGGTTTTCTAACTGTTGGACCGCGTGAGGCTAACTGTTTCCTCCTGTTTTCAGTCTTTATGCTTAGTTAGGCGAACCGTCTGCTTCGTATTTGAAGAACATGGCAGCGGTATCAATCTTCTCATCCCTTTCTTTTTTCACTTTCTCTCAGTCTCTTTCAGAGGTACTAATATCAGGAGGTGACCTGCAGGCTCATGTTCACAACACCCTCTCTGTCCCTTTGATAAGTTCACCCACAGCCACGGACATGCCCCATTTGCCCTTTGGCTTCAGAGCAATAGGCGGCTATGGCAGAGCTAAGGTACAGTACACAGTGAGAATGTTTACATGAGTATATTTTTTTATCGTTTTTTTAGTACAAACACATGACTCATTGTGAGCTCTGAAAGAAACATTGGTTTGTCTTAACTTCTCGGTGTGTGGGCATGTGTTATTCTTATGTTCTGTATGTGTATCCAGGAGCGTAGCTTTGGCTGCAAGGTCTGTGGAAAGGTGTTCAAGCGCTCGTCCACGCTGTCCACACACCTCCTCATCCACTCAGACACGCGGCCCTACCCCTGCCAGTACTGCGGCAAAAGGTTCCACCAGAAGTCAGACATGAAGAAACACACATTCATACACACAGGTGAGTGAGCACTGCAGTGAGTACACTACACTACGCTGTGAAATGCCCAAACTCCTACTCTTAAAGGTTGTATTCTGCCCTCCGGTCTTCCCTCAGGTGAGAAACCACACGTGTGCAAGGTGTGCGGTAAAGGATTCAGCCAAAGCTCCAACCTCATCACCCACAGCCGAAAGCACAGCAGCTACCGGCCGTTCAGCTGCCCCTGCTGTCAGCACAGCTTCCAGCGCAGGGTTGACCTACAGCGCCACCAAGAGACACAGTGTGGATATAGAGACATGTACACTCAAAACTGAGTCCATGACGAAATGGAGTCATGTCAATCAAATGTGTGAAATGGCATTTGTAAATAATGTTCACTCATTCGTATTTGTAAAAGTTATAAAATATGCAGCAAGTAATGACAAAAAAATGGAAGGTAAATAAAATTTGATTGTGTAAAAAAGTGTGTTTTTGAACTAAAAGTTTGTGTTAAGCAAGACTCTAAGAAACATGATTACAGGCCTGTAAAACACGATGAGGCTTCTTTCTGGGAACTCACTCACAATTGATGATTGGGTTATTTTTCCAGGAAGTGCCAGGCAACCGTGTTCTTAGAGTAACGTCATCCAATCACATTGTGTAATTTTCAGGCACAGAAAGCTGTACGAATGTGCTTGTAGTTTGTGTGTGTGTGTGTGTGTGTGTGTGTGTGTGTGTGTGTGTGACGCCTCCATTATTTAATGAAGCAGCCATCCTTAATACACCGCAGCAGGACGAGAGGACAGATGATGATACATTTATCATTAAGGATGTACTTCAACTACTGCAAGAGGTCTATTTTAAAATTACTTTCTAAAGATATACCCATGAATTTTTAGTACCATTTCTACGGCACATCTACAGTAGACGTTACATTAAAATACCCTTTGCTGCACTAATCAATATTGTCACATTAACTATGAATAGAAAACATAACATAACGACAGCAAACTTTACTATTAAAAGAGCAAAAAAACGTAGCTGCAAAACATCTTTGAGCCTTGTAATGAAGGTAACACAGCCTATTAAGTCTAAATTAGCCCATCAACATTATTAATAACCCTACACTAGCATACATTAGCCTCATGTTATACCACGCTACTCTACTACTCTGCAGTGGGATATTTGCATTTCCATTACAGTTATAATGTTGTGTTCCATTCATGTAATTATAGAACTTCTAATTAAAGAAAGGAGTTGATTTTTTGGTTATTTTCATTGCTATTACTAACAAAAGTGACATGTTTCAAACACTAGTTTGTCAGGTTTTTGTTTAAATATCGCTGCATTAGTGGCTTTGAGCGAGAATAGCCTTCTGACAGACATCTTCAAACTCAGGCTTTTGACCACTCGTAAGTCTTTGTCAGCTATGGACCAGTTCAATTTCAATCCACATTTTAGGTAAAAAATTAGTTAAATCCTTTTTTTTAATTATCTGTTAAGGCTATACATATTACAATTGGAGAATTTAAGAATCACTTTAGGCCTACAACAATGATAAATACAAATATTTAAAAATAACAGGGGCTAAATAGCCGCGTGTGGTTTGTTAGGGCAACGATCATCAGGTGGACAGCAACATGACTCAAAATGAATGTTTCTCTTGAAGTTGTAAAAAGGCACATTACACATTAGCCACATCATTATGCCAGTGTTGTGTTCATAGCTTGCTCCACCTTCCCTATATGACACAAATAATTTATTACTTATTTAATTGAATAAGTTAATATATTTTATATTACATTAGTACATCTATAAACACATTAACTTCTGTCGTTTTATTCGTGTTGCATGTGATTTCAGAGTGAAACAGAAAGTCAACATGGCTCTTTCAATACATCTTATTTGCCACAATCACATACGGTAAATGTACAGTAAAATGCAGTTTTGATATCCAGCTGATTGACAGTTACAACACAAACAGTGAAAATGACTCTGTAAAACACTGACTCTTCAAACAGGCACACACTCGCTAACATTTCAATTCATCTTTGACCTTGTGGTCCGTTTCCTAAGGCGATGGTGACACAATTTCTGTTTGAGTCACGCCAACCAAGCTTAGATCCTGTTGAAACCAGATAGAGGTCTCTTCAATCAGGGGCTGCCAGTTTGGAAATTACTTGTGTACAATGGTTTGCAGCATCAAACAAACAACGTTTCACTTTGAATCAAACACCTGATCTTCACAATGATGAGTGAGTGCTACTGTATTCACATGGTGTCAGTCCTGCATGCTGCACGGAGTGATACTCACGCGGAGAGCTGCACGAACACGGCTCTGCAAACACGCACGCACACACACACGCACACACACACACACACACACACACACATACAGGCAGCTGTGCTCGCTCACACACACGCACACACACATGCACAGACACACACACATGTTGCTAGAACCTCTGCTCCAGTTCTCCTCTCTCAGATTTGCAGGGAGGAAATCCTGAGAAAGAGATAAAAGAATAACAATGTTTAGACTTATCTGGGGTATCAGAGTTGACATCAGCAGGTGCTCGTCGAACGCAGATATTTTTTTCTGGAACTGCCGGTGCTTTTAACCACTACAGTTTATTTTAAATACCTTGCTTTGACATTAGGTTTACTCTGTGCCGCCCAGCTGCAGTAACCTGTACAGTTTGACTCTGTAATCTTGTAAAAATGTGTTTAATTGGAACAAAGGGGATTGTGGCAGATGCTCTTCTGAATGACTGGCAATGACAACACTGATAGCAGCCTTGGGTTAGCAATGTATTGTTGGCATTTCATTTTCATAGTTTGTATAGTACTTTGTGCCATTACAAAGGTCTAAACATAGATTAATTGTCAATAATAATATAAGGTATTACTAATATAAGCACCCCAATATAGCTGTCAGCACAGAACATGTGTTATTAAAGTGACATCACTAGAGGACAACCATCAGACGTCACACAACTACCTCTGGAGACACTAAAGGCTTTATACAACTTTTTAATATAGGCTACGTAGTAGTGCTTCCCAAAGACCTGTGAACAGACTTTAATGTGTGAAATTGGCGGAGTCCCCTTTTAAACGACTCCTCAGTAGATCTCACCTCTACACCGAGCTGGAGGACTGATCAGACGGGGAGGTATTCCAGATGTTGTGGACTCTGTGAGCCTGGTCTGTTAAATGACCTCCTTCTCCAAGTGATGCTGAGTGTGCTCCTTCAAAAATACATTCATACAGTCCTTTTATAACTTCTCCACACAACCACAGAGAGAAAATACCACCAAGTACAAAGAACAGTTCATAATGTTTAATGTGGTAACCTGCAGGAGCCTCATTTATCTTATTTTTAAAATGTTGGTTACAGCTTTGATACTAACTGGTGGTTGATGTTTTCACATTGGGAAGACAAAACTTCAGTGAATCAGTCATTTACTGTTGAAACAAAACTTCAAACAGGATGTATCTACATTAGCATCCACCCCCAGAGTGCCAGAGAACAATTGTTTTCTGTGCTTGCAAACTGAAACGTGTGCTGATCCTGACTTTGCTCAATAAATTCAGTCGCAGCTCCACTTAAATGTAAGAAACTGAAGATTTGTAGCTTAGCCTTAAAACAATGACATTTTTTCAAAATTAAACCTAAAATCTTCTGAAACCACAACGTGTCTAATGTGACATTTTTTACGACTTCATGAATATGTAAATAAAAAATGTTCTATGTCAGCAGCTCTTGGAGACACGATAGGCACATTGGTGCTTTAAGCCAAATGCTAACATGCTAATGTTTGGCAAGTAAGTGTAACGTTTAACGTTTGCTAATTAACACAAAGAGATGAGAATGTCATTAGTTTTGCAGGTATTTGGTCATAAATCAAAGTACTGAACACATACATATTCAGCCAAATCCCTTCAAACCCACATTATCCCGTTAACATAGCAAATGCAAAACCCTTTTGTAAACTGACTGCGTGTTGAAATAGTTGTCCTGTGTTACATTAATCAGTGATCAACAGTAGAAAAACAGACATTAATGGATAAGATGATGATGATGAAGCACTTTTAATTTGTCCAGTTCATATGCCGAAGACGTTTTTGGACGATACAGTATTTGGCACCATAACTTTTCAGTGACAGAAGGAAGCTGATCTCATTACCTGTGTAATAGTAGATGCACCACAGCCCCCCCATCAGACTGACACCCATCACAAAGGCAGCAAAGACGATTCCCATCACTGGTCCTGTCTGCACCACAGAGCCTTCAGACAGAGAGGGTTCATGAGGGAGTGTGCTGATGGGTTAAACAGTCTCACGGTGACATTAAAAAAAGACCAAATAAATGCCACTCACTGCTGTGCTCTGGGTCTGGACTCGCCACTGGGGAGGTGCTCAGTCTCTTGGTCCTTTGGCCAGCAGGGGGCCTCAGCAGTTTGGGTGCACTAATAGGCTGGGTGACCACCATGGGCCTGGAGAGGTTTCTGATCTCACACTGAGAGGAGAATATGTTAGTTTATATATATCTGCAATATAATATATAATACTATAATAATATATAGTAATGTCATTATATTGCTGCTATGATACCAGTAAGTGAATATAAGTGTGAGTGTGATTCAATACTCAGTAGACAGGATAAACAATGTATCTATACTCCTCAAACTTTTCATATCGCTAAACTTTGACCTTTTATTAGTTTTTACTATTACTATTAGTAGTATTTCCTATACCTGTTATATAAACCTACAAACAAGATTTCTGGAGGTCTGTCACCTATTAAAGAGTAAACATTTTGCTGTTTGAGTCACTTTAAAGCAGCATGAAGATTATTACCACCCTGTGTGAATTAATGCGAATGTTAAATATATACAGCCAGCAGCCGGGTAGCTTCAGTTATCATAAAGACAGGAAGCAGCCAGCCTCGCTCTGCCCAAAGGTAACAAAATACCATACAAACAACAACAGTTTTGTATTTAGTTAGGTTTTATTTCTATTTGATTTTTGATTTTCAGTTTAGTGTCAGTTAGTTTCCAGAGGGAGTTTGCTTGTTTCAGGTATTTTCTGTTTAAAATGTTTAATTTGAGTTAAGTTTTTATTAGTTTCAATGAATGGTTTAGTTTTTTCCCCTCCAGGGACAAGATTTAAGAAGTTAAGAATAGCTACTCCTTGTTTTAAGTTTCGTTTTAGTTAACTATAACAACCTTGGTACCAACACTGCTGAATTTGTTTTGTACAAATTAAATAAAACAGATTAATTAGTCCGCTTTAGAGTTGCTGGTAGTTGACAGAGCCAGGCTAGCTGTTTCCCCCCATTTTCAGTCTTTATGCAAAGCTAAGCTGAGAGTGGTATCAATATTTACACCTCATGTCCAATTATTTCTTAAATGTTCCACGTTATTGCATTTGACAGGATGCTTTATCCTGCATTAGTTTAATGGTATAAAATGTAACCCCAGTGTACCTGACGTCTAGGTGATCTAGATACAAGTGGAGGGATACGTATGCCGTCCTCACAGTCATTCTTGACAGTCTCCTTCATGGGTTCCCCTCTTGTTGAGTCAGAGACACAAAGGCGGAGGCTGCAGTGGAGGAACTGCATAGGGTCATTATAAACTGGCCGCAGGATGAAACTAAATCTCAAGGGCTGTATCTCCTCCTCTGCTCCCACACTTTCTGGTTTCTCTCCCCTTCTTCTTTCACCTTTGTGTCGGAGTGAGACTCCCCCACCTCTCTCATGAGTTCTTCCTTTTTCCAGTCCCTCCATTTCTTCCTTCTCCTCTTCCAGTTCACCATCACCTTGTGCCTCTTCGTCCTCTTCATCATCTCCATCAAGGGTCAATGAGGGGTTTGAGGAACATCCATCGCTTATGACAGTCCAGAAACTAGACTTTTTTGGGTCCGACAGGGGAGAGACCACACATGAGTTCACCTCCACAACTTCTATGAGGGGCCCTTTGGCTGAGATCTGAATTACAACAGAATGAAACCGCGATGAAGGAGACAAAAGGTAGTTAAATGTTTGATGTATGAACAGGATTTAAAGGAAAGTGATGATGCAAAGTTCATTTGTCTGTTTTTACTCAGTTATGATTATTAGAGCCAAAAATAATAATAAAAAGTCAACAACACCGAAGAACTTTGGTGTTGTTCGTCAAAAAAGGCAAATAATCACAGAAAATACAAAACACACACACACACACACACACACACAGACCTCAACATAGACACGGTGGTCTGCAGTTATGACACAGGGGCCAATCCGTCCCGGCTCGTAGCTTTCGGTGACAAACAGCTTCAAAATAAGAACAGGCCCAGGTCTGCGTCTGGGTATCGGTATGTGGCTCATTCCTGTTTTAAGCCCTGGACCCTTGGGCGCCCAGGGGACCGGCCCTGCCTGAAGAGTGTTTACCTTGACATCATCACTGTCTACAGGGGGGCCGGGGAGGGTGGGGACTGCAGCAAAACAGCTGAACTGAGAGCAGAAACAGGAGATTACAGGATGAAAACACTGAATGAATAAGATTTATGAAGGTAGACACACACACAGCTATCTTACATGTATGCCTAGTGGACTTTTGGATTTCTTCTCTGTGTCATTGAGGGCGAGAATGGTCTCAGGTTTGTCTCTCCATAATAACACCTGGACAAAGACAACAATGAGAGGAAAACAGAACGGTGTACAGTATAATGTGATCCACTATCGTCTCTGTAAGCTCCGTTTTCTACATTGTGAGGCAGCTGGACAAAATCATAAAATATGCCTATATCTCAGCCTTTCAGTAGTTTCTGTGAAGAAAACTAAATTAAAAATAATAAATAAAATGTATTTAAAGTATAAATTATTATTAAAGATATAAACTTGAACACAAGCTATATTCACAGAGCCTTCAGTCTCTGCTAAACAGTCATAACATATATTAGAAAAGTACGCAATTAAAACAACCAAAGAGCAAATTGAACAAAGGTTAGAGAATAAAATAAGGAATTTGTCAAAAAAGAAGCCTTTTAAGTGTGTATGATAGTTCAAAATTAAAAAAATACATAATACAATAAAATGTTCACATGAAATAATTGGCTCAAAATCCATCCACATCCACACATATATTTCAGTGTTTCAACACATATTCCTCTTCCTCTTTGTCACTTTTCACTCTGCATCCTCCTTTCTTTAAATTTCCTGCCTCTGAACTGATTTCTTTCACTTAATTTGCCTCTGTGCAGCCTCCCATTTTTAGGCTTTAACTCAGCGTTGTTCTGGTCATGATGACCTGGGTCACGAGTCTCACTGGGGCCAACTTCCACTTATCACAATTTCAAAGGTCCATTATGCTTTGTGTTTTGTTTTTACCACTGTCTGAATTCATATGTTCTCCTTCTGTGCTCCTAAAGCTTCACTTGTTCTGTTTCTGCTGTTTCTATATTTTGCCTCTGCCTTCTGTTGGTTTATGGAAATTATTTTAACAATAATAACATAATAATAATAATATGGATAATCTTATAAATTCATATGGAGTAAAATAAACGAACTGAATATAAGGTTTAATAGACAACAAAGAATTAAAGGTACAATCATTTTTAATATCTCTAATCCTTCTCTGTCCACTGTAAATCTCACCATGTTTTTGTACTGCACCCCTCTGGGCTGTCCCAGGAGCAGACCCTCAGTCCCACAGGAAATCACTGGGAACGCCAACAGGAAATGGCTCCCATTGGACTGAGCCTGGCACGTCGAGTCACGTAGGGTCACAGCAGCCACAGGGACAGAAAAGCTCTGAAAGAGAGAACTGATGTGAGACAAAGTAACTCTCAAATTCAATAATATTTCTGTCTAACCGGCCCTTTAAATAGGATGTTTATGAGATTTTAAAAAAAAGGGAGGTATTTTGGTTGCAAGTTCCTAATTTGCTGCTGTCTCTGCACCACTGCAAGCGGCTGCTAGGCATTATGGTCTTTATGAAACCACTGGTATAAAGTTGAGGTAGCTGGCTTCTTTCTGTACAATTTGTTTACATCTAACTCTGCGTCTAATACTGAGGTATGAAGACCTGCAGGATGTGTTGGTCCACGGTCACGCTGAGGCGTCCGTCCTCACACTGCACTGTGAAACTCTCTCGGCCTCCTCCTGCTCTGCCTCCGCCGTTCAGCCACTGCCTCAGCCTGTGCTCCTCCGCCCAGGGAGGCCTCACAACCAGAGGATTCATCTCTGCAACCACGTCTGTGGTACAGACAGAGAGGAGACACAGTGACAGCCGTGTGGAGACATTAAATACTCACACTTACTCTTCAATACCTTTCATTCAACATATATGCACCGATGGAAACATTCTGCTTTCATTTCTCATTCTCCAGTTGAAAAAGGGACACAGAAGACCGAGCCAATAATTCTCCTGTACATAAAGGAAATTATAAAATCACTGGGTTGGATTAACAAAATAAAGCTGAAACGTTCAGGTCACTCACACAGTGATGGAAACAAGAGACACACAGGGGTCCTGACCTGTCCCGCCCCCAGCCAGCTGGATCACAAAGCGATTGGCCAGGTCAGCCTCAGTGTATGAGGTCACCCTGGGGTAGCCGCTCTCACTGGCCCATGCAAGCAGGTCCGATATGGTGGACAGGTCAGAGTTCAGTGTACTGGACAGGGTCAGGTCAGGCTCAGGTGGGTAGGGTGGGGATACACTGTTGGAGGACTACAGAGAAAGAGAGAGAACTCAGATACATGCGAATCATTTGTCAGATAAATCCCTATAAAGCCCTAAAGTTAACATTTGGACAACAAAGTGGAGCTGAGGACGGATGAGGAAGGAGGTCTTTCAAGGTAAATGTGTCCAAAATCCTGAGAAGATGTGAAATTAGATTTTGAGAAGTTGGAGGTTTTCCTATTTTCACAGTTTTCTGGAATTAAATAGATTTAGCCATAGAGGCTTGTGAGCTTTTTGACATTGCTGTCTGTGGCAGCAATAGTCCCTGCTGAGGATTTCAATCTTTAAACCAAGTTAGAATAGAAACTTTTTTTGGGGTAACTCATTTCCTTAAAAAGCTGGTGCTTTTTAGCCCAAACAGGATTACATGGAGTTTTTGCTTTTAGGACTATTTTCATCTGCGGACTGATACACATTTGGTGCTCTAGTGAGTATTTATGGCAGGAGGCTGGTGTATGTAGGACTGAGTCAAAATAAACTCCAGTGTGTCCATGGTAATGGAGTAACGTGTGATACAGTGTGGCTCATTGATGTGTTTTTAATTGTTTTTGGATAAAAAAGGAGCTCTAAGGCATAGAGGAAGAAGAGCCAGGCTTTGGCTACACAGACAATACTTATCAATAGGATCAATAAGTTGTTGGTTTGGTCTTTTCACAGGTTTTATTGACAATATGAAACGTATAGAATAACGCCAGCCTCATCCATTCAAGTCAATTTGCTGTATCTTTAAAAACGACTTTGCTGCAGTCAGATTCAATTTCTTAAACCGTGCTGTGGAAAAACAAAAAGTAATGTGCCCCTTACATGAACGGAGATATGACCCCGCACACCGTGAGCAACAATGGCCCAGTTGACTGGCACCGAGCTGCTGAGAATCAGCACAACCTTCTGGGTCTTTGAGTTGGCCACAAGGGGCACAAGAGAGACAATCACTTCCACTTGGAGAGAGCTGAAGAAGACGGAGAGAGAGAAGAGATTGAACTGTACACAGGGGCAGATATAGTTCATGGGGTGGCAGAAATATATGCTGATTTAATCACAAACAATCACATATAGAAGTGTTGAAGAAATCTGAGACACTCAAGAGGATTGCTCTTTCACCTTTAGTAAAACATTGAATACAAATATCTAAAGGTGGAATTAGAAATCAATAATGTGTGTAAAATGTGGCCAAAACAGATCAATAAATTAATTAGTATTTTTTCAATCAATCTAAATGAATGTGTTAAATCTGACTGTACAACAAACATAAATGCTCTTGCCAAGACTTCATGTCCTCACCCACAGAGCCCTGAGCCCGCTGAATGGAGCTTGATCACGTGGACTTCAGGGCTCATCCCACCTGCTTGTGCCTCGGCGCAACCCTGCACTTCCTGTTGCTGCAGGTCAGAGGTCATGTAGCTGTGAGAGAGGAACATGGACTGCAGCTGGCACACAGCAGGCAGAGTTGGGTCTGTAAGATGGAGGCAAAGAAAGAGGTTTTCTTTGATGAGTGCTCCAAACCAGTGCACAGACGTTCAGGTTACAGCAATGTGTATTTGCTTTCTTGTAGAGAGTTAGATTAGAAGATTAAAACCACTCTTACACCTGTCTGTTAAACATACGGCTATAGTCAGCGGTCAGTTAGCTTAGCTTAGCATAAAGACTGGAAACATTAGGAAACAGCTAGCCTGGCTCTAGCTACAAGCAAGCAAAGATATTATCTCTTATTATTTATTTATAATTATTATCATTTCTATAAATATGCAGTAAACATAAGATTGATGCGCTGTAAAGAATATCTACTAAAATGATACAAATCATCTCTTCAACATGAATACATATTAAACTACTACCACATAGCTATATGATGGTTGAATGTGATTTATCATCACTGTGATATCTGGTTTCTTGGTGGCTCACCCTCCCCCAGCGGGACGTAGACTCGATTGCCTTGTGCTGTGTGTGTCAGAGAGGACAGGTTGCCGTGGTGCTTCAGAGCCCAGCGGTACAGTGCACGTGGACGAAAAGGCAGCGAACGCACCGTTTGGATGTGCAAATGCAGGTTGCGGGACTGCACACTCGAGTTGGAGGACACCTAGCACATGTGGAAGAAAATTTTAAGAGAAAGAAAATACTGGAATGTCACATTCATTACACAGCATATCATTTAAATGTGCCCTCACACTCTTCTGCACACTGTGACTGACCTGCACCAGCACTGGGAGGTTGGGGGGCAGTCTCTCAGCCTCCAGCCACCAGGTGAGCGGGAGCTTGGAGCTGAGCAACAGGTGGAAGGCTCTGAGAGGGGAGGGGGTCAGAGATAAAGGCCTCAGCAAAACCGTCACCTGCAGACAGAAGATGATAGAGGTGTCTTATGGTAGTTATACAGCCAGTCATCGGTCGTTATGATGTTCTTTCCATTTTCAGGATGTGTAACAGAAGAGTAGCTACACTTATATGAAGCCCTGAAATTGGAAAAATGTAATAAAATATTATCAGATAGGTCAAAATACGTCAATAAATTATGTTGTTTGTTATAAAATAGAATACAAGAAAAGGAACATAAAGCTTTTTATTAATCTTTGACCTCCAGTTGATGTAACTTTCCTTTCAAATCAATAAATTAAAACTTGAACTTTACATAGTATTTATATTTTACTTACAAAATGTGCACCAGCCTTTTCAGCTAGCTTAAGCTAACTTATGTCATAAAACTACACCAGCCAGTGTTCGTAATGTTAATCATCATTTTACTACACACAGCATAATGCTGCAGCATCTCTGTATAAACTAAAAACTTCACTGCTACAAAATAAAGTATTTTTTCTACTGTGGTCCTCGAGGAAGACATGCACTTATACTGTAGATGAAGATAATATTATGAAGATTGGTGCATGTGAAATTATAGTATTAGCTAGTTAACTTAGTAAGCATTAGCTTTCCAAAATAAGCTAGTGAAACCAACTGAACACCGATCATCTTCCAAGCATATAGGAGAAACTATGGTGGGGTGAACGGTCCTGTCTGGAGCCAGTGTTTGATTTTGCCCTTCTGGGCTACTAAAGAGAAATGGCGGTTAAACATGGCGGACTCAGTAGAAGAGGACCTGCGCCCTCTGTAGGTAAAAATGACTCATTAGTAGGTAACTTAACACAACACTTCTTATATTCAAGTGATTATACACTAAAGAAAACATACCTATGAATATTATATTTCATTTCTGTCAGTAAATAAATGTTACACACTGAACCTTTAATTTATTTGCTCAACTTAACGGTGGTTAAAGGGCAAATATAAAGGTTCTTTTTAAATTCAATATTATTATTATTCATTAATATATGTTTTGCTTTTTGCTACATTTTGTCAGTTTTGGGGTTCCTTACTCTTACACACAGTTTGAGTTACTGACAGCCAGGTGCTTGGAGCAGACAACTTTTGGACACTGTTCACTCTGTTCCTGTAAAGTTTGGGGTGTCGATCTCCTTGAGTTCAATACCTTGTTTTCGGGGCTCTTTGTCACTCTCCCCACTGCAATCACATGAGTTTCCTTGTTCCCGCGTTCTCGAGCAGCACAGCCTGGACCAGCATCAAACCTCTCCAGCAGACCCTGAACAGGGTGCAGCTCCACCACTGGACCCCCCACAGAGCATCGCACCTCCACACTTTGAGCTGAGGAGCAACAGCAGATGCAAGACTATGAAATAAAATATGAAACTCTAACTGCAGTGGGGTGTACACCACTATTCCTGTATGTCAAATAACAAATAACACGAGTTATGAGTGAGCTCAGTCTCAGCCTCACAAGAGCATACTGAGCTTAAATCCCTGCCCGAGGGGGCTGGAACATTTCCCAGAAGAAACTATGCAACAATTTTCAGTTTCGCTCTGACACTTAAAATAAAGACCTTTGACTTGTGGCAGCTTAAACACATAAAATCACATTTGTTAATGTTTTCAAAACACAGATACCATTTTTGTTGGTCTTAAGATAAATGGGTGCAAAGTTCAGGAGTGATGTTCTTACCTGCCGTTCTCCTCCAGAGCAGAAGGAGACAGAAAAGAGAACATCCAACCCCGGACAGTGAAGGCATCATGAACGTTTCACTACTAGATTTACTGTGATGACCCCTATTGAGACATCCTAGTGAACGGAGAGGTGATCATAAGACATACAGTAGATACACGGGCTGGTCTTCAGAGCTCTCTAAATAAGACAAATTAGTAACATTTTAGACAAACTGAACTGAATTATTATAGTATGCATAAAAGCTACTGACAGCTAAGATAATATGAGCAGGAAAGGCAGTAAAAGCTGATCATGAGAAATGATCATTAGAGCTGCAATGATTTGTCAATTTATTGATTTTACAAGCAACAGACTTTGATAATCAAGTAATCAGTAATTTTTCAAGCAAAATTGCCAAACATTGACTAGTTCCAGCTCCTTAAAATATGATTTTCTTTGTCATATATGCTTGTAAACTGAGTATTTTAGGGTTTTGGACTGATGGTCGAATAAAATGAGCACTTCACCTTCAATTGCAGGATATTATTATGGAAACTTTAAAAGATTTTGATATTTAACAGACAATTAATTTACAAATGCTAATCGTCAACAATAATTACAGTAATTGCAACCCTAGCAATCATGTTTTCTTCAACCAACCATCCTGGTTTATATGGAAGCCCAATGACATCAGAGAGTCATGATAAGTAATAAAAATGCTCAGCATAAGTCAACATCTTGACTGATTTTGTGGTAATTATGACATAGTAAGTGAGAATTATTAGATAAAATGTTAACATTTAGATTTTAAAATTATGATATAATAATAAATTACATGAGAGTACAAATTCATGAGATAAATATACATTTTTTTTTAGATATTAAGTCTTGTAAAACACGATGAAAAAATACATTAGTTTTTTTCTCATTTTGTTATAATTGTGACTTACCACCATTATTTCCATTAATATCATGAACTTTATTTCTTCCATAGATGGGCTGGAATTTAAATGCACTTTCTGTTTTTGTTTCTACATCCGATTGTTTTTCCAAAATGCAGCCAACATGAATATCAATCTAAAGTCTGCTGGTCAAAAAGGAAAAAGAGCCTCCTGAGAATGAGGGGGAGTTCAACTTTGAGCAACAAGTAAGTTAAAGAGGAATATATTAAATATCACAGCGACTAATACAACAACTTAATATGGTGCATAAGGTAAGAAAAGATCAGTTTCCAGCCAGTTACATTTCAGTTTCTATTGCAGCAATTAATTATAATTCCAAAAGGATTTCAAAGCCAGCTCATATTATCCGTGTCCAGAGTTAATCTAAAAGTCTAAAGAAAACATTTTGCTGGAGTAAACATGAGAAGCTGAACTCACCTGCGGCGCTGCACGGAGGGACAGGCGGACTGCTGATCCAGCTGTTGCACTGCTGTGTTCACAACTCAACAACACACGCCCCCCTCATTTCCTAAACACACAACCACGCAGTCACACACACCCTCCACATCTCCAACCGCGCAAAAATACTCAACTCTCAGCCGCGTGTCGCGTCGGGCATCTTCATCCAGCTGAGGTGAAGTATTTCTCAGCGCCGAGTGGGAGCGAAGGGGAGAGAAGTTGTAAAGACACAATTAAAGGGGCAATGGGAGGGACTGTGGGATGGTGTGACAGAGTGGAGAGAGGGATGGCGAGGAGAGGAATAAAAGGCTCTGAAAAAACGTCTCCAAGCGTAGATGGCAACAGGAAGGAGGGCTGCAAGGGAGAGAAGGAGGGAAGAGGAGGGGAGGTGGGAGGGATGGAGGAGGAGAAGGGTGGACCTCAGGGGTTTGACTGGCAGGTGAAAAGTTTGGGAGGGGAGTAAACACACATATTGTGCCCTCTCTCTGACCCTCTGGAACATTAATGACATGGATCATATTTTCCATTTTGAGTTCAGATGGGGCATTTTTTAAATTTACTTCAGCATTCATTCATTAGTTCATTCATTAGTTCATTCATTCATTCATTTCCAGAGCAAAACAGCGCTGTGAGAAATTAATAAAAAGGCCAATAAAAGCTACAATATGCTGCAGCCAGATTCAGATTCACTTCCATTGCAGGTCGTCATATACCGATTATGTTTATGTTATATTATGTTTTATCTATTTATATAAAATTCAACCATCATTTAAGTTTTATGAGTTTGGACGGTTGATGTTTTCAAACTGCTGCTGTAAAAAACTATTTTAAACATGTCAGCTTACTTCACTTCAGACTGTGGCTGTGAAAACAGTTTCTGTATATATAAGATTTAGAACAAAAAAAACAAAAAACATGTTAAAGGGCCAGTGTGTAGGATTAAGTGGTGGGAACATGGCGGTACAACCACTGACAGTATATATAATGGACAGAGCTTCCGGGTCTGAAAAGTGAAGCCAACGCATAAGTGTCTTAAAACCTGCATTCTATGTAAAGGCCAGCAGGGGGAGCTCCACTGGATGCAATAACACAGCGATCCCATTCACTCTAATAGAGAATTATTTGGAAATAAAAATAACATATCTGACACTGTCACGATAAATATTAAATATCATACCCTAAACAAAGATACTTTTTTGAGAAATACTTTCTCACCTTAAAAAATGTATTAAACCATACTGGGGCTATTGTGGGGCTGCGGCTTAGAGTTAGAGCGGGTTGTCCACTAGTCCGCAGGCCATCAGTGTGTGTGTGTGTGTGAATGAATTTGTTTCTGTTTCTAATGAGCAGTTGGCACCTTGCATGGCAGCCTCTCCCATCAGTGTATGAATGTGTGTGAATGGGTGAAAGCTAGACTAGAGAGACGATGTCTTTATGTACAGTAGAAATATGATCTTCTCTACAACTTGATTTACTCTGTTTATTAATTACTTCTCTCATCTCTCTCTTTTTTTACTGTCATGTGATTGTAGCTCTAACACTGTATGGTTGATCCAACATATCATCTGAAGTGACCCACATGACAAACACATATTTAGAGTGACGTAAAAGTCACATAAACTTTGATATGACTGCTCACACGTTGCCAAATCTGAATTTAAAAGAAGTGATTCTGTGTGATTTGTGCTGTTCACACTGTCAAATTAAAAAAAAAATTTGGATTTGGGCCACTTGTACCTGCATTGTGAACGCAGCCTTTGTTCCAGTGTGCTCCTTTAAGACTACACATACTTCTTAACAAATGTGGGACGGACTCTACATATGTTTTAATTATTGGCTGCTGGTGTGGAGTTTAAAAAGATGTTGACATTTCCCGGGCAGGAAGCACATAAAGTTATTGAGTTGCATTATGGGAATTGTAGGATTTTTTTTTAAATAGCCAAAACTAGGTCTTATTGAGCTCAAAAGTGCAATACTTAATCCCTGGAGTGCTCCGTTAATGTTTGTTTGTTGTTTGATGTAATGATACAAGTGCATCATATATTCATATTATCATTATTTATTAAAAATTAAGCATCAAACAGTTAGAATTAGCACACATTAACTTTTCTGATACATAAATGTTTAGCAGTGAGTTTTGGTCAGTATTTTATCAGTGAAGTCTCATTGTTTCACTGCTTCATTATTATTATTTTATTAATTTATTTTATTTATCCGATTATGTTTTATTTATCTGATTATTTTAATTTATCTGATTATTTTAAACCTGATTTAATGTAACTTGAGCACTTTTCAACTTTAATTGTTTTTGATACTTTTTTAAAAAATTATCTTTTTTACACACCATGTGTTTTGCACTCTACGTCCTGTTTGTCCATTTTCACTCCCACTAATAATTCCAAGAATGTTTTTAGTGATGACTATTTTGGGACACCATTAATAACAACAGCTGGGACCCGGCCTGGCTCTGCATCAGTCTCCATTTACTGTCCAGCATCTAACAATCTACCCTCTGGTACTCAGAGATGGAAAGTATTTTTTTACCAAAGTGCTGCAAAGCCCAATTTTGTCAGAGCAACAAAATCCATCTGAGCTTTTGAGAGTTTGTAGAACTGATGTGAACACGAGGCTGAGTCCCTGTCCTGGTGTCAGTGTGACCCTTAGACAAAATGTACCTGCTGTTCTGTGCCAAAATATTCAATTAATATATTCAAAGACACTCTGTAAACATCTGCACAATCTGTCATCAGTTGTTTTCCTATGATGGTAATCACAGTCTGCATAATGTCACTGTGTCAGAAGAAGAAAGACCAGTATCTGAAGAACATCTGTCTGCTGTCGACATCTGTCACCATAATCCGCTAATGCACAACATCTAACAGTCTTCCTCTCTGAACACTACAATAACACAATAACATGTCTGCTCAGGTTGGAAGAAAGTTAATTCACTTTTTGCTCCATTGTGCCGGAGCACAGTCATCTTCCTCATCACTGACCTATTATGTATTTCATGACTCTCTCTGCTTTGACCCAGGTGTTGCCTCAAGAAGCTGCTAATGACTGCCGGCATACAATTTAGAGAGAAAAGGAAATTCTGTCCTATCCTATTATAAATCTACAAAATGTTTCCCTGTTTTTTATAGACGTACACACAGACAAAATCATTTTGAAAACATAGAAAACTGGCTGCTGAACACATGCTAGTTGTAAGAATTTCTTTAGTGTAGATACGTACTCACTTTACAGCCATGCTAGCAGCTCTGTGAGGCTATAATAGGCCCCACATTACGTCACACAACTTCCGTTCTGGAGCGAAGCAGGGTATCCTGACTTCCATCTTTGCTTCCGCAATCCCACTGAGCGGTGTTTCCAAAATGGATTTCACACAATCACTCCTCAAGCTCCTAAAATTTCCCAAAATGTTGTTAGCATACTAACATGGCTAATAAGCACTGACCAACAAAGTACAGCTGAGGATGGGAATGTAGTTTTGGATTTTAAGCAGATTAAAGTTTTGCCCTGATGATGGCGCTAGAGGAAAATGCAGCGGATCACCAACTTTACTAGTTCATCCTGAGGGGGAAAACAATGTAGGAACCAAATTTTATGACAATCCATCGAACAGTTGTTGAGATATTTCAGCAGTCTGGATCAAAGTGTAAAGAGGATCTGGAGTTATGGATGTAAAGGAACTCAAAATGGCTTCTTGTTTTCCTCAAAAAGTATTGACAAGGAAAAATCCACTGGCGACAATAAATGATCAATGCATCTATGGTTGGTTCACATCTTTACTGAGTCACAGTTCCAACACATTTCACCAGCAAATGACAGAGAAGGAAACACAGATGGGGAAAAAAACACTAAATCACAAAAAAGAACAAAAAGCTTTTTTGTCATTGAAAAATGATTGTAGTTAAAAATCTGTGTTGTACCGAAAGGCAGTGGAAAGAGAAGACTATGAAATGTCCTATGTGAGAGCTCCCCCTCCCTCCTTCTCTGTTCAAATCCCCCCCTACTCGCATCAACAGGCAGCAGCTCTGATCAAACGTCAGCGGACCCTTTTCTTTCCTCTGGCTCCCCCGTGTGTTAATGTACAGGTGGTGCATTGATTGCAGCTGATGTGGATACATATCATGACTGAGGCAGGGACACTGTACACAGCGAAACACACACATAGCAGCAACAAACAGCAGAGATAAAGGGACAAGAGAGTAGAGAGCAAGTGCAGGAAGAAAAGAGACAAACTGCTTCCTGTCAGAATGAATCACTTTTCACTCCTTTGACTCTCTTCAGTACGATCAGAGATTCTTTTTTTTTTTCCCTCTATGGTCCACTGTTTTACCAGGTAGGACAAACAGCAGCATCCATCATCTCATCTCCCAATTGTTACATAATCTGGATTATTTTACGTTATCATCACACTTCCTCTTCCTCTAAAAGCCACGCAGTGTTACGGATCTGTTGACCTATAGGAGGTCAGCAGGTCCGTGACACTGTAAGTGTGCAACATGCGATCCGATTCCAGTGATCCCCTGTTCTCACACACGCTCGGCCCAGCCAGTCCGTCATCCAATCACAAAACACACAGACAGAGAGGAAGAGGACAGAGTAAGAGTGATCCTCGCCTCTCATCGCCACCAAGTTCTTCTCCCCCAGTACGGGACAGTCAGCCTATACTTCTCAGTCTCCTTTCAGAGTCTGTGGCTGGCAGTGGGCAGCTAATAACCCTGTGACCCCTGACCCTAGCAGAGGTCAGAGACATAGTCAAAATCCTTGAAGTAGTCCTGTTCCTTGCGGGCGAGCGTGCGGCGCTCTCGAGGCGGCGTGAGGGCAGGAGCCTCGGCTGTGAACTCCGTGTCAAAGTTGCTGACGTCTTCTTTTCCTCCGATGGTCGGGATGAACGGCGGCGGGACTTTCCTCTGAAGAAGTGCGTCCCAGTCCATACCCTAAATGACATTCACGTTCAGTTTCACTCTCAGTACGCCCTACAGTAACGCTAAGATTAAAAAAGGAGACACTCACCCTGAAGAAAGGTTGTTTTTTGACATCTTCAGCATCCTTTTCTGAAGAGCCCAGACGTCTTTCAGGATTCCTTCTCAACAACTAGCAACCGAACAAAAACATAAGGAGGATACTCCATCACTCAAGTGACTAAAAATGTATATTCACATGCACTGTAGAGCTTAAATGTTAATATTTCCAACATTACAAGCATACAGAGTGAAATAAAACAGAGTGTAAGTGAGTCAGGAGCAGGAAGTAACAGGAGAGTGTCAGAGTCTAACCCGTCTCATGATGCCGATGGCTTCTGTGGAGAGGAAGCGTGGGTACCGCACTTCATCGTTCACTATGCTGTCGAAAACTTCTTCCTCATCGTCACCTGGGAACGGAGACTGAAAGAAAAAGACACGTTATATAACTCATTCCATCTCTCTCTTGTGACGGAAATTAATATTAAAAAGGTGAAAAACTAGAGATTGTAGTTTTCACTTCAATCTACTCGTGAAATCAGTTCTGAAGTTTTCTGTATATACATATTACAAATAGCAAGTAAATAAAATTCAATAACTATTAGTCCGTCTCTCACCAGTGGTTCTATAAATGCCAGTGTGTCTGTAATTAAGAACATATTTCCCATAAAGCTCATTGCTTCCAGGTTCAAAGAGGATGCTGTCCATCTTCTCTTTTTTTCTTTACTGAATACAATAAACATTTTCCAGATTTTCCGTCTATCAGCTGTTCAGCTGATTTTGTGCCTGATGTTCCTGAATCTCTTACTGAAGATCAATAGTTCAGTTCCTGTCAAAAAGCACCTTTCTCTTTCTGCCTCATTCACTCTCTTGCAGAGAGTTTGATCGATAGATTGATGCTACTTTTATATCTGTCCAGTAAATATAAAGCTCCATCACCTCTAAAACGCACTAATTTAGTTTGTTAAATCCATACAAAAACCAAAAAGACACATGGTTTTCCTGGGACCCGCCCTGGAGATGATCTATTTGTTTACAGTAATCACACTGAGGCCTGACGGCACAGATCAAGACACATTTCAGCATATTTTCTTACCTCACCGACCAACATCTCATAGACGAGCACCCCGAGTCCCCACCAGTCGACTGCTCTGGTGTATGACGTGTCTGTCAGCACCTCCGGGGCCAAAAACTCAGGGGTCCCACAGAATGTGCTGGTCCTGTCCCCATAACCCATACCTCAGTAGGAGAAAAGAAATGTAAAGACAGATAATTATTGACTGTGGGAGTGATGAGAGACATATTGATGCTCTCCAAATAAATTATGTACAGCTAAAAAGTAAATTTCCCTTAAAGGAACTTCTCTTCTGGTTTTGTAGAGAGCCGATATGATGAATAAATAATGGACACTCACCTTCTTTACAGAGCCCAAAGTCTGCTATCTTCACAAAACCTTCTGTGTCGAGCAGCAGGTTGTCCAATTTAAGATCCCTAACAACGAAAAAGGAAGGGGATTTATGCCAAATGCATCTCTATAGTGCAGGTCATGTGTGAAGGGCAAAGATGGACAATCCAAGTACTTACCGATACACAATCTTATTGTCATGAAGGAACTGCAGACCCAAGACCACACAAGCTGAGTAGAACCTGTCAGATAAACAATCGTCAGAAAGACAGAAGATTTTACATTGACGCTTCATACATGAACAGATGCACAGACACAGAGCATGGCACACACATCTTGTCGCCTCTCTTTAACATATACAAGGACACGGCAGAACTCACACAGCACGTGTCTCAGAAAAGACGTCGGCATGTATGTGCATCATGAGGTCTCCTCCTGCAGTGTACTCCATGACAAAACAAACATGTTCTGGCGTCTGGAAACATGCAAACAGGTTGACCAGGAAGGGGTGGTGGGAGCCGTTGACGGTCTCAAAGATCCGCTTCTCACACATCAGACTGGAGACAGGCAGAAGGGAGGGGGGACGGGTGTGAGCATGAGACAGTTATTACTGCACGAGGTGTAATTATGAGGTGAATGAGCTCTGTCATGTAGCTGAGACTTGAGGTTGAGGTTTATAGAGTGCTGTGTTGTAAAATAAATACACTCACCTTTCCACTTCATCCCTCGCAACAATGTCTCCCTTCTTCAGGGCTTTGATGGCGTACAGGCTGCCTGTCTTTTTGTACTCTGACAGCAACACCTGAACAGATTTATATTTTAGTTATTGTCAACCAATCTCATTAAAAGACCAAAACAAGCAATGTCGGTCTCTCAATTCTCCCCACGCTGGTTTAAGGTAAATCTTTAAAAACAGGTCACGTATTAATTAGGGTTGGCCACTAATAGTCGACTTAATTGTAAGTCGATGTAAAGAGACTCATGTCATTAGTCGCGTAGTCACAGAAAAACAAAAACAACATCAAACAGCCTCAGCGGAGCGAAGGCCAACTGATTTACAACGGCTCCAACCAGGACAATGACTCTTGGGGGAAGACATGGCGGGTTCAGGCAGGGACAGGAGAGGAATGAAACGGAGGAAGAGAGGCGAGTTCGTAGCTAATTTGTAGCTTATTTGTAAGTAACTGTTAAGTAGTAAGAAGTTGGAAGTTATTTATTCCGTGTTTTGAACAATGAATCTTGTGTGATGTTACACTGTGTTGAAATAAATGAACTAAATGTTCAGTCTCCTCGCTGGTTGTCATATTCAGAATCCTTAACGCTTTTTCTGTTAACATTTAACAGATATTTGATATTTGATAAATAGTTGGGGCAGCAGGAATTGTGTATGTGGGATTGGGTCAACGTAGCTCTGAAGCACAGAGGAATAAGATGTATCAGACTTTGGATATAAAGAAAATAATTGTTCAAGGATCAATTCATTGCTGATTTCTGTCTTTCATTGGATTTGTTTCTTAATAAGGAAATTATTGAATATGACCATGATGTTTTGGTTTCCTTTTAACCACCAAGCATTGCCACAGTATCAGTTGGTATCATATGATAGAGAAAAGAAGCGTTCACCAATCTGTGATGGTAAAATAATACAAATTCATATAGAAGTAATTTCCAAGGAAGAATAATTCAGTTTTGAGCCACTTGGGATCAGTGCACACCCAGCAATTACCCAGCAAAGACATTAGCGTTTATTTAGAGTCATGTTTCTTCATTCACCAGCTGAATGCGAGTCCATTATTCACTCTCCTTTAAGTTCTTTTTTTTCCCCTCTACACCAACTCCTGAGGGATATATCTGGCTCTTTAGCTGCTAAATGCTCCACTATGTTCACCTGCTGGCATACAGTCGGTTTACTAGAGCTTTTCAATGACAACAGCTGCTGGAGACAAGGTTGATGACAGTGAACCAAAACAGTAACGTTGCATGCCTTGAAAACAAAACAATGAGCTGAAAGGCACTAAAACGGTCTGCCGAGCTGAGGAGAACTGCAGAGTTGGGTAATTATTCTCTGTGGGGTTGTCACTACAACAGTCAATTTACATATAACACATAGTCATTTAATCCACTGTTAATATAAAAAATATTGATTTGTGCAGAATTTTTGGAAGGTCTGTTCATCCTGTGAGAAAACGTGAAGTTTGAGTACCTTTCCAAAGTGGCCTCTGCCGAGCACAGCTATCAGCTTGAAGTCCTGCAGGCAAAGAGGGCCTCTGCTGGGTCTGAGAGAGAGATTATAGGCAGATTATAGGCAGTGCATGCAACATAACATAACATGATGCCATATTTAAATGTAGCTTATATACTCTACAACAGTGGAAAAACACGTAGGACCGTAGGATCCATAATGTGTTTTGCTATTAAAAAGACTAATATGGTTCAGTATATTCTGTGTTTCGGGATCCAGCACAGCCAAGCAGTTCTTATTTGGGGCGACATATGCTGTAATCCACATTACTGATGACTTGGTTATACCCCCAGGTGTTAAAAAAAAAAAAAGAGGTTACAACACAGGACCATATTGAGTGTGGGGGTGTGTATCTGGTGTCACACTGTGATGGCCATATTGCAAAAAGCTATGCTCAGGTGTGTGTGTGTGTGTCTGTGTGTGTGTGTGTGTTTGTGTGTGAGAGAGAAAGAGAGAGAGATGGGTCCCTGTGTTTTTGTGCACCTGCGTAAAGAGTTCTGGGACAGCGATCTGGTTGGCTGCTTGTGAACAGGGACATCCGGTGTGGATGGGGGCTCAATGACTGGCGTCTGTTCCTGTGAAACACCACAGAGAAGAAGAAGCACAAGGGAGGGGAAGAGTGAGAACACCAGTAAAATGAAGACATATAAGAGCACGTAGAGAAAATGACAGAAAACGAGGGACAAATGAGGACAAAATGATTTCTAACATCTGTAACGACCTTCAGTCACAGCAGAAAAAAACAGACAGTTACTGAAGCTCATCATGCCCGGTTGCCAGATCCCCTGCTGGCCGACAACCTCACCCCTCCCCTCTTCCTGTCCTCTCCAGTTCTTCCCCACTGCTAATTAGTTGTCTAAAAAACATCAGAGTAATTAATCCCATAATACTTCAACCCCGTAGAACACACCATCTGCCACAGGCCCTCACTGACTCTCTCTGTGCTCGTCTAATTCTTCAGTGTGGCCAGAATCAAGCACCATACAGCCACAAGGTTCCCAATGGACGTGTATTAATTCAGAATAAAAGAAAGAGATCATGATCAGAATAAAATAAGATATATGGTTAAGCAATTTAATATATTTAATATTATTATTATAATATATATATCACTCAATCAGAATTATTGAAGCTAACTTGTGGGGGTTCCTCAAGGCTCAGTGTTATCCCCATTATTGTTTACTTTGTACATAAATTATATATATGTTATATATCATAACATTTGTTATGAAAGGAATTTGAAACAACTTTAGTATGATGTGGAAAAGGAATTTAAATGTTGAACACACTGTCTCTTAATTAAAGCGAGACTTAAACCCATTATCTAAATTTAGAAATGCAGAAACATACAAAAGTGTATTTTTTGGGAGTGATTATAAGTTTAGCTGGGAATCATATCATAGCATAGATGAAAGCATAGATTTAAAAATGTATCTAAAAAATGAAGAAAGTATATAGAAAAAGGAAAGGACATATAAAACAAATACAAATCCCTGTCTTTCATTATCAATAACCACTGTGTGACTGTGACAAGTGACTACTGTTTAGTTTTTGCACAAAAAGTAAAAATATGTTAGATTGTATGTATCCCAGTTATTGGCAGGCAGTTGTTTGATTTCTAGGTTGTTTTCTACTGTATTGCTTTGTTTGCAGTAACTTTTTTTTTTTTTTTTTTTAAATCTGATTCTTCTCTTATCCCTAATTTAAATTTTGGTTGCACCAGTCTCTAGATGTCTTCCCCTCTCTCTCTAAAGTACTTCCTCTTTTCAGGTCATCTCTCTATTCTTCTACCACATTATCACCATCTGCAGATTGCGTTTCTCACACTGGGACACACACAACTAACACAGATTTGGCCTTGATCAAATTAAAGCTCCCCTCCATCCAATTATGTCTCATTAACACTGTCTTCCTGAGATTCAGTTCTCCATTTCTCTAACTATTTATCCTCTCCTTTCTCTCTCTCCTGTCAGGCCCCTGCTACGCCTGTCTCGGATTTCATGGCAGCACACAGTGCAGCGCCCTATGACTAGAGCACTGTTTCCAACCCAAGGGCTGCAGGTAGGAAATGAGCAAAATAGTAACATGATAGTGTAAAGATGCCCTCTGTCTGATTCCCTTCCTCTTTGGCCTCCATCCTTCTCACTCACCAAGGGAGCGGGTGCGTCCACCACGTCTCTCCTGATTTCAGCTTTTGGAGGAGAGTCGCCTTCCAGATTCAACTTCTCCACTGAGATTTCTCTGCACGCACATAAAATAGAGAAAACACATATGAAACTGTAACTCAGTAAAAACTATAGATGTGTCAAAGGAAATAAAATTCAACCCTATTGCAGGAGTACTTTGCCCAGAAGTTAAGGGTTTAAAAGCTAGAGGCAACTTGATTTGATTGCAGACATTCAGTGCATTTTCAGGTTGCTGCTCAGCTGGTCTACTCTTCATGAGGTTTATGTTCACTGAATTATCCAAAAATGTAATGGCAAAAAAAGGTAGTTTATTTAGGCCAAATTACAGACATTATCCATCAAGTATCGAACTTAAAGCCTTATTTCTCACCAGAAAATGTAGGCTTTAAAATACTTACATGTACTTTAAATATAACAAGTATAAGCATCTTCAAATGTTTTTTTTTTTTTACACCGGTTACATACCCTGTGCTGTGTGCGAGTGTGTTGCTTGTGAAACTGGGTGTGTAGGCAGGTGTGTTGCTTCCACTGGGGATGGCGTTCCTCAGCAGCCGGACCCACGTAGCAATGTCAACATTCATCTGACGAGCACGTAAGAAGGCTTTTCCTGAAATACACAGAGTGGGAATATAAATAAAAAAAATACTACACTGCTACTAAAGTTCATACTGTCTGTATTTAGGAAATGGAAATAAAGAGTATCTATTCATGCTAACTTCAGAACCTAATGGAATAAGGTCCCTGTAGCTTTAATAGCGTGAGACAGCTGAGCTGTTGACCTGGGTTTGTATTTCCTGTTAATGTTTATAATCCCAGTTCCAAAAACAACCAAAAGCCATTAACACTTTATCTGCAGCCAGCACTTCATAATTTCGCTGGCTTTTGACTCCTTTAAACAAGGCAGGCAACACACATAAAGAATGGGTAACCCACTATGCAGAGCCCACAAGGCTGGAAATATCTCAAACAAAACATAAACTAGAGAGAAAACAGTAATGATGATATATTTGTATGGTAGAAATATGCTTTTACCTGACCTCAAAATGAGGAATAACTGATCTACTGTATATTGCACTATAATTGAAACATATAAATAACCCCCTACGAGAGTGTTATACAGGTCAGGGCCTCTGAGCAGGTGCAGTGATCAGAAACTGAGTTTAAACTGTCAGACGTCAGACTAAAAAGAGAGACAGCGGAGCAGGAGGTACAGACTTTAGAGGTGTCCAAAGTAATGAATTTGCTATAATGCAAATTGTGGTTACTGTTGAAAATGTTGAGTAGAGAACGGAGATATGGAGGCGTTTTCCCACGATAGTTTTATAAATGAACTGATACAAGTGGACCTGATGCCTGGTGTGGAGTGATGGCCAGTTGACTACAGAGTACAGGTTACAGTGATGAGTAGTGAAAGGGCCATCTGTGACAAAGCGGATGGCGATATGGTAAATGACATCCAGTCTGTTGAGAGGAGATTTGGAAGCAAACCTGTAGATTATGTCGCCATAAAACAGGATTAGGAGAATTGTCATTTTGACCAAGGTGTGCTTAGCAGAGCGGGTAAACAATGCCTTATTTCGATAGAGGAAACCGATTCTCGCCTGAGCTTTGGAGAGTAGTGTGTTGATGTGTGTTTGAAAGGAGAGAGAACTATTGAGCCAGATTCACCCAGGTATTTGTAGGAGGGGGCAAACTGTCCAAGGAGGTTATATTAAGAGGGCAAGTCAGAAAGGGACAATTCATAAGTAAAACTACGCCGTCTGTGCAAACAGTTGTATAATGTCTGCTGTAGCCCTGAAGGGAGCTCTCCAAGATGTAATAACCCTCACAGTGTCACAGTGATGGCATCTTATGAATCACAGTTGAAAGATAAATTGTATTCAGTGTTTCTGGAGCATGAACACAGTGTGGACTAAAAGCCAGGTTATCTCAGCTCACGTTGCCTCGATTCTGACCATTCTTTCTAATATTAATCTGTGTCTTGTAGGGTCCCCGAGTGTTATGGAAGTACAACACCAAGTCACCGGAGTACCCCTTTAAGGCGATAGTGTATTTATCTCAAATCTACCAACTGATCTGAATTGAATGAGACCAGTAGGAACCCTGAATGACACTCAGGACCTTGGACACAAATTCACCAGTGTATTAAAAACCTCCATTGGCTTTCATTAAAGTCAAATTTCAGATTTTTAGGTTTTTATTCCTTTATGAGTGAAGACATACTCTACACTTGAGTTCAGTGTGCTCTTGAACATACCGTGCTGTTTAGAGAAGACTTTCTTCTGCCTCTGGAGTCTTCTGCCTCTCTCTATTACTGGATTAAAGAAAGTAACCTAAAACAAAAACAGTATGTTAAAACAACAAACTGCAACTTCAGTGAGTGTGTGCCTGAAACTGTCTTTTTGTTGTACCTGTGTATGTTAGTGTGTCTCATACAGGATATAAGGAGCTGTGTACACTAATATTTATAAAATTCTGACTGTCACATGCATATGTTATGTTTATAGTTGATGAATGCAGCTCATATTACCCTGACTGTGTGTGTCTCGGTGTGTGTCTGTTTACTGTTTTTGTGTGCCCTGTACCTCAGCCAGAAGCAGCCCCTGTGGCTCCAGTTCCAGCTTAACTTGGTGTCTTTGGTTGTCCAGGAACTCTTCCAGCTTTAGGTACTTCAGAGCGCACAGGGAGCGGTAATCTCTCCAGTACACTGCAATCTCCATCTCCCTGGACTAATCACACACAAAAACACCAGGGTTGTGACATGAAGGATTTTAGACCTAAAAGGGCGTATTATCTTAAGTTTTTACCTTAAAACTGTAAGAATTTGTCCAGGTTTGTTTCAATTAATAAAAATGTATGAAAATCTAATTTATAATTACCATTTGCAACTTAACCATTATGTAGTTTAAAGTTGTAATACTTAAGATTCAAATCAATGATGTGAATATTCATGGTCGGCAGTTTTTCACATATATTTCCAATACCCGTTACATTTTCTGCTGACTATGACCGTACCGATCCCAAATGCATCTAAAGAGTGTGATATTTCAAATTGTGTAGGGACCAATGAAAAAGCAGCCACTACTCTGCCCTGCTCTTGTGTGAAAAACTACTTTCACCGTGTACAGCATGAAATCAGGTCATAGGGTGTCGACTCTCAGGAGCTCGTACTGTAATCAGCAGCTCATGTGGCAGATGGAGAGAGAGGTTGTAAGACCTTTTACTAGGAAGTGGTGATCAGTGTCTTTTTGCAGCAGAAAACACAGCAACATTTGGGTGTGTGGGGACATAAACCTGTATTACCTTCACTTTAGAGACCAGTGAAATAACACCAGAGTGAAAGTTTAGAATAAATCACATTGTAACAGACTGAAAGTGTGCAGTTTCTTACTCTCTCCAGCTCTACAGTGAAGGTCTGGTCCCAGGCCTGCTCGCCAACTGTTCTCCACCCTGTCTGACCCACCACTGTGTTCTCCAGCTTCAGCACTGCACTCACCTCCGCTGTAAAACACACACACACACACAGAGGCACTGCTTTTTCAAAATACTGACCAGGCTCATCCAGAACTGCATTCTTATTTGATTTCAAATGTGGAAGAAAGGGGAAAAAATTGTTTGATCTGAATTACCCACATGGTTTTTGTTTAGATGATTTAAAGGAAACTGTTAAACAGCATTCATATAACAGATTAGTCCAGACTACATATTATAAACTGTGAACATTACATGAAGTAAAACTAAAAGGCATCTGTTCAAAATAAGAAATTACTTACTGGAGAGCTCCTCGTTCTTGCCAGGGATCTTAAGGCTCATGCTGCTGGTGCTGCGACTGTAGAGGCCACTCAATTTGAATGAAGTACGTCCATCTCCCAGAGAGTGAGAGGGAAGAACCAACGGGGTCCCTTTGCTCCGCCCTGGGACGACCTCCAGCAGCCCTACACAGCCCAGAAGACGCACCTGAAGAGTACCTGGAGGGGAAAAATGTATGTTTCATAAAAATGACATTGATGTATAAATATCAGTGCTTGAAAAACAACAAGAAAAGAAAGAAAGAAAGAAAATGCATGATGCAACTTATTTTTCCTTAAAAAGAAAATGAACTAGAAATTAAATCCAAATATCAAGTTCAACATTTCCACAGTGTTGTTTCTGTGTCTACCTGTGAGTGGTGATGGTTTACTGAGGGTGCTGTATTGGTTATGGACATAGGGGGTGCTGTGGCGAGCGCTAAAAGCAGAGGAAGAGGCCAACACTAGCTCCTCCTTGATGAGGCAAGCCTTGGGATGATCCTCGGGGAGCTCCACCAGCCTCTGCTCTAAAGCGCATCTGAGCAGGTCCAGACGTTGGGACGACTCACTCAGACCACACTGAGCCTGCAGACATCATAAAATAGTGATTAAAAGAGTGTTTTCTTTTTCTTTCTTTGTTTTTTATGTACATAAAAATGTATTGCTCTTGATGGGGAAATTAGGTTGTTGCAGCAAAAACAAATATTTTTTTTTGAATATGATATATGTAAACATGTACGCAGACTTAGACTGTAAAAAAAGAAAAGAAAATTTTGTTCTTACCTACAGATCTAACAAAGAATTGATTGCTTTCATAGTGGTAGTTCGACATTTTAGGAAATATGTGTATTCACTTTCTTGCGAAGTGTCAAAAGCAAAACTAAATAAATACATTAAATGGTGGAGTCACTACAGAAAATGAAATAATATAACGTCAAACTGATTAATGAAAAAAATTAACAAAAATCTGGTAAGTTATAAACAGCCTTTGTGCGATGCTTTTTGGTGTGTATCAAAATTTACAAGCATTTATCAGAGCACAACTGAAACCACACTCAAGTAGTGGATTAAACCAATTGTGTTTAAAACAAAGCCGTCTCCTGTCGGTTCTCTGACCTCAGCCATGGCCTTCTTGTCTTGGACCTTTCCTGCACCCAGCAGTCGCAGAATGTTCTTGGCTCCCTCAGCCATGGCATGCTCCACACGGTAGTGATGCCACAGCTCCTCCACACGCAGCTCCACCCCACACAGGTCGGGCTTACCTGTGACACAGTGTCAGGTTTAGTCAACAACATATGAACAACAGCGTGTGCAGCAACATGCACAGATGATACATGTTGACCACCCTCATAGTAAAATAATTAATTTCAGATTTGCAAATTGTTAGGTGTTCGGCAACATGTCGACATAGTGCCAGATTTGTACAAAATGTATTTTTACTAAGAAGAGAATTTATTGGCTCCATTATGTTCATCAGCAACTTGCTTACTGTCTCTGTCATCTCTTTGGTAAAAAGCAGGTAGTGTGCAGTGAGTTTTTAGAGGTTTTTGTTTTAAAACAGCTGCCTGTTGTGGCTGAAAACAATGCTGATGAGAGCAGCAAGAATAAACCAAAACAGTAAAGTTGTGGGCCACAAAATCCAAACAATGAGCTGAAAGGAACTGAAGAGTCAGGTAATAATTATGTGGGTTCATCGCTACAAGCGACCCCTTTCACATACATGTAGTTGAGTGATCCATTCTTGGTATAAAAATCTAAAATCCTTCCGTTCACTTCACCCTTTTGTCATCTCTGACTCAGTCCTTTCAGTCTCACTCCCTTCCTGGCTCCCCGCATCTGTCCTGCCTCCTCTCTAACCTCTGTTAAATGAGGCATGGCTTTTAGTTGTTGGGCAACATCAAGGGGATGGAGGAACATCAATAAGGCTCTAACCTGAGCGAGTGAGAGGGCTATAATGGACAATGTGAGTGTATGTGTGTGTGTGTGTGTGTGTGTGTGTGTGTTTGACTGGAAGACTGTGCACTGTGAAGTTCTGAAGCAAGAATTGATCCATTACTAGCCGCATCATAAAATATGCAGTGTTTATAAGCTGACAGAGTGATAGGTGGGATGAAAGATGAATTGAACGATAGTGGAGGTAAAAAACAAAAGCATTGATAGATACATTGGTTGTCCTCAGACTGCTCCGTGGCCTGCATGGCCTTTCGAATCTGCATGCGGATGATGTCAATCTTTGTCTTGCTGTCCTGCAGCATCTGCTGAGCTGTCTGGAGAAGCTTCTTGTCCTGTGGAGGGACAGAAAAAACAGGAGGAAATCAGGAAGATGGTAAAGGAACAAATTCTAAATAAATACTACAGAATCTGCAGTGGATAATAAAGTGAATGCAGTGAATAAGAGTTGATGGCTGAGCCAGATAAATACCTTGGTACCTCCATTGGCATAGATTGGAATCATGTTCTCTGCTCCCTGTTTGACCTTTAGCTCAATGTTTAGTTGCCTCTCCAAAGCTGCGATGCGGTGTTGGTTGGCCGACTGCCGATTGACCGACCCCGGAGACTTTGGGGAATCTGGGCAAGAGGAGTGGTTGGATGGTAAGGGGTCAGGTTACAGTTGGTGTAGTTATTAAAACATTATCATTGTCCTCTGGTGGTCTGGACTTTATTTGTTTTACCCCATAAACTAAACTACTCGGCTCACTGCAAAAGCATGCAATAGGTTTTATATCATTTCCTGCCTTAATAATCACTTCAGACAGGTAACCAATCTTTCTAATTTCTTGAGTTAATTTCTACGGTGGTAATTTAGTCACAAAAAGGAAACTCAATCCATGAAGTGTTGAATCAAATATGAAAGACAAACAATGCGGAAGATAACTGAATGATTAAATGATTAAATGAAGTGTAAATAGTGTTTTTTTTTTAGCTTAGCTAGCAGTGTGACAGAGAAATGCTAGTTGATCCATTTGATAAAAGGTAAGGGTCATAGACTTTCTGACTTTTCCTTTAGTGACACCAGCAGGTTGACATTCATGTTTTTTTGTGTCATGCCTCAACAACTACTGTAGTGTATGTATAGCCATTAAATCTGGTGCACATATTGATGTCCTCCTCAGGATACACTATAATAACTTTCCCTCCCATCGTCAGGTCAAACTGTCAATTTGTCCAACACGTTGGTTTATGACCAAATACCATACCCATCAGCCTCAGCTGTACATTGTGTTTGGTGCACAACACGTTAATCTAAGACTGTGACCATTATATTATACCTGCTACACATCAGAATGTTAGCATCGTTACTGTGAGTTTATAAGCATCCTAAAATTAACATTTATCTCAAAGCACAGCTGTGTCAAAAGTACAGCCTCAAGAAGCTGCAAGGACAGTTGTAGACTTTTACTTTTGTTGAAGTTAAAGTTGTTGTAATGTTTGTTGTTTTCCAAAAGGATGAAAACACCATCAATTAAGAGTTTCAAGACTATGTAACTATAGATGCACCGGGATGGATTACTTATCTAAAGCAGGTTTTCAGCCTGCAGGTTTTTCAGTTAACTGAAACCAATGGCTGCCGGTATGGTAGGAAATTAACTTAAAAATGTATGTCATCAGTGATATAAAAAGTGTGTGATGTGTGTAATGAGATAAATTGTGCAAAACAACTGGTATGACCTCTTAAGAGTTAACTACACATGGGAAGCATGTATCTAATGATGATGGTGATGTTATCACTGTTTTGAAGAGGACAACTGGCACATCCCACAGTGGCACAAGAGCTTATAAACCACCTCTCCATGGTAGACACTGTACCTTTGTTGTCATCAGGGCCTTTGACCACAATGTGTGCGTCCAGCTCCTGCAGCTGAGCTTGGAGGGACTCCAGCTTGCGGTTAGAGCTGCGGAGCTGTGAGCCCACCTGCTGGGCATTCCTCTTGTCAGTGGTGACCCTGCGCAGATTTTCCACACCCTCCTTGATCTTCAGCTCCTTGCGGATCTCCCTGCGGATCCTCTCGCGGTGCTCGTCCAGGCGCTGTTGCACGCTGGAGTCTGAGAAGTCAGAGTTTTGGTCCAGACCAAGCTGTTGGAGCACCGACAGCCCGCCTGGATCACTCTGAAGAAGAAGAAGAAGAAGAAGAAGAAAAGGAGGGTGAGATGTTTAAAGAGAAGGCACAAAGGGAAAAGGAAGTAGTGGCAGAATACGAGAAGGAGGAGGTGATGTGTGCAGAAAATGGTACACATTTAAAAAAAAGAAACTATATTTAGCCCACTGTGTATGAGGGGGATTATTCAATTTGAGTTGAAAGAGAGACCGATTCAAAAGGTGACATCTCCAGCTGAGAGCTGCTGAGCTGAGGTTACGACTGCTAACAGTCACCCTGCACAGTTCTGACGATGTGGAGCACTGTGGGATGAAAGGAGGTGAAAGCAGCAACGCTGAGTGAATCCTCAACATGTGAAACCCGCTGAGCTGAGACTGCGAGGCAGCATCAAAGCATAGGCTGCACTTAAGTGCGTAAAGAGCAGAGTGCTCACATCAGCTTTCCTACTGATCGACACTAACCAGGTTACAGTAGATTAGAACAGCATTAATACAGACTAAAATCAATCGTTGTTGTGTCTGCTACTGGATGGGTCACAAGTAAACATATACACAAAGAGTGCATATGTATAAAAATTTAATTTAATCTCTCCACAAGTTGTTGTGATTTCTACTGTAAGAAGATCACCTCTAGTGCAATATCGCTGTGGGTGAGCAGTAATAACAGTCACTTCCAACCCCTACACAGTTAACCAGCTGCAGAGTCAACATTGTTAGCCATTTTTTATGCTGTTAGTCCCATCAGTGATTTCAGCACTCCCTATCTTACTTTGTGATTCTGTACTGTCCGTCTATTTTTATTATATATATATATATATATATATATATATATATATATATATATATATATATATATATATATATATATAGTGTACATGTGTATCCGTGTTTTTATTTATTTATCATCTCATGTTTTTATGTGTTTTTGTGCGAATGTGTATGTGTTTGCAACCTGTTGTGAACCAAATTGCCCCTTGGGGACATTAAAGACATTTCAATTCAATTCAATTCAATTCAATTCAATACATTACTCTGTGCTGTGATTCGAATCGAGTGTTGAGTTAGAGGACTACCCTTCTTTACAGTCTGGTCATTAGCTGTGACTACAACTAGACCCATAAAACAGCTCACACTAGCTAGACGGGTTTTATTCCCTTTTAAATAATTTAAAGAAATATGCTCAATAATTGTATCATTGTTTATATTTTCTTACACAGAAAATGAGAAGACTTTAAATTTTCATCTGTATTAACCATGAATTAATTAGCGAATTAAAACAAAATGTAAAAAATCTGACCCAATATTCACACACAAGCCCAAGATAAAGTTTACTCATGTGACTGCTAACCTAGACATACAGTCTTCATGCACAAGGGGTTGTACACAAGACAGGAGACCCAAAATGCAAACACCTTACAAACCACAGCACCACCAATTGTTTAAAAATACAACCACAAAGTCAGCGCTTCTCTGACACAGTCTTAAATGAACATTTATAAGCTTTACAGAAGGAATATACGGTATGTTGCAGAGCAATTGCATTTAACAGTTCATGCTATTGTGTTAATCCCCTGTATACACACATATTCTTCATTAACCTAATGAACATGGGGTGAAACCCTGGAGATGTCATGCATTCATTTAGTGTTGTAACATTACATCCAATCATATCATACTCACACACACACACACACACGGACACACACACGGACACTGAGGGCTGTCCCCTCCCCTCTGCCAGAGTATAATGACGGGGTGCTCAGGGCCTTTCACTGCACCATGCAGCTAGCCGTCCAGCTTAGCAGATCTGATTACAACTTCTTAGGTCTCTATGTCCATCCAGCTACATGCAGGCTGGGGCTACAGCTCTGCTCTCATTAAAGCCATAATCCATCTGCAACACAATACAGCACAACAGTCAGGCACGGCCTGAGCAGCCAACCACACCACATGGCACAGGCCAAGTGCTTGCAGGATTTTGACTGCTGCTTTAATGCAATGTTATGCCATTGCACCACTCTGAAGCAATGTAATTGAGCATGTTTCACAAACTGGTGATGACGGTCATAGAGACCAAATTGTCCAAGGAGTTTGGTCTGGAAGGACCTAAGCCACTTCATCTTTGTAAAGATGTCAACCGACACAGACACTGACATCACTGACAAGCACACAGACATGAACATGTACACATGCACATGTAATGCACATTTCCTGACTGAGAGGTCACAGCCATTCAAGACAGAAGAGAAAGCAGAGGCAGTAACCAGTAACACACCATGAACGACAGGAAGGGAGAATTTGTACTGTGACGCACTCCTGTTCGACACAATACATCTTAATCCCTGGTGTTTAACAACAAATAATCTCTAGAGCGAGTTGTAAGACAGCTCACAGCAGGGCAAAACAGCAGACAGGAATGAAAACTCACAAGGGATTCGCTTAAAGTCAGGAGATGTTTTTACAGGAAGTGAACAAGGAAGCCAACAGAAAAGAGAAGGGCCATAGTAATGGATGAAAAAAAGAAAAAAGGCGGCCATGTTGGGGCCTGCTCTGGCCACAGTTGCCTACCGAAGACTCTGTGTCATTCTGCTCAGTATGTACTGGGGAATCAAGCGGTTGATCCTCTGGCAGGTCCTCCAGTACGCCCTCACTGGCCATGTTTGGCCTCCGTCTGGCTTCGCTCCCGGCCCCCTCCCTACCCTCTGTCCCCTGCTACACGCACACACTCAGCACTGACAGTAGCGCCAATCAGGCAACACCAAGTGCTATTCCTGCCTCTTCAAAATCCAGGATGTCCTTCCCGCCAGGAATCAAACGCCAGTCTATAACCAGAGCAAGTGAATAAGGTAGAGGAGAGGAAGAGAGAACAGCATAGACCGAGCCCCACCTCGCTGCTTCCTGTTCTGCTCTTTGCCAGATAGAGACTGAGGCGTCATGCACTTTGTACAGACACACACACACATACGAGTGGTTTTGTAAGTGAGAGAGCTCACAGTCACTCTGCTTCCTGCTACCAAGTCTCCAAAGCTGAGGCAGGCTGTTGTGATAGATTGTGGTCAATGTTAAATGGACTATCAGATCATACTTATCTTTGTGTGTGTGTGTGTGTGTGTGTGTGTGTGTGTGTGTGTGGTGTGTGTGAGTACAATATATGCATATATGTGCAGTGTGTGTTTATATATATTTACACACACACACACACACACACACACACACACACACACACACACCCCACACACACACACACACACACACACACACACACACACACACTATCTTCATTTTGAAGCACTAGATGGACTCTACTGAAAGTGAACACCAAGTCACGAATAATAAAAGTCTTGACTTGATTTTGAATGAAATAATGAAGGATTATCTGCTTTTGTAACAAAAAACAAAACATGAAGCATCCAGGCGTTGAGTTCTGTTCTGTCCTCTTGATATAACACTGTGCCATATGGAGACAAACTGCACACAGAGAGGAAGACATGGAAATTCTGCTGTGTGCAAGTCGACTGGAAGCTGAACTGACTTTTTGGAAGCTTGCACAAAATCTAAATTCACAGGAAAAGTGGGACAACAAGCTGAGTCGTCACCTCCGAGACACAAACGAGCAGAGATCACACACAGGCAGCACTGACTGATCACAGACCCTCGGCCTCTTTCTGACTTCTACAGACGGACGAATAACTGTCTTGATTTTTGTCCTCTTCCTGTCAGTGAGAGACACACAGGGTCATGGGTTTATCTGACTCAGACACAAAGCAGCGCGAGGTCACTGACCCTCCGAGCTCTCACTGTGTGGCAGATGGCCCTCTCTGGCTCTCTATCTCTACGCATCGTACCACACGATTACACAAAAGGGTACACGATCATAGACAAAAGGCACCAACCCACGTCTAGTTCTTCTTATTCTGCGACACCACAGAGGAATAGGAAGTAAAATAACATGAAGTTAAGCCAATATATGCAAAACACAGCTGCTCATTATTTTGATAAAAGACACAAACTCTTTTTGTCTCATATCTGTGAGCAGGTAGTAAAATATTTCCTTACCGAGCAGCTGAGGCTCTTGGTGCTTCCTGTGTGATGTGGACTGGTGGCTGCAGAGATAGCAGCCCCCATGCATCCATACTGTCTCACCTTTACAAATATGGCTGAGCTGTCATTAATAACTCCGCTGTAATGAAACTGAAAACCTTAAACTTCAAACCTAAACACGAGCTGTTGTGTCTCGCTCATTGTGTCTGTAAAATAGATATGGTTACTAAAGCTGTGCTGACCACAGTATCAGGAACTAAGAATTGTTTTTTTACATACAGCTCTTAAAGTTACAGTCTCACACTGTTTACCTGGTTGGCATTGACCAGGAACGCTGTAGTTAAGGCCTTAGCATCCACATTTCCCCTCAAGTAGCTTTAAGATCATGATAATCACATTTTTCACACTGTCTAACAGTATCATAAACAGCCTGTAGGGTTGGAACACCCTTCATTGAGTCTACACGTTTACACTGAGTGAAATATTCAAAGCCTCATGTATTTCTGGCCCCTTAAGTCCAATATTCTCTCTGACAATTTGCTCTTTAGCCACCAAAGGCTGCACTATGTTCAATTGCTAATGGCTAACTGTGTCTGTGTGGTGGTTCTGTACTAGGATGGTAGTGTAGTGTGAGGTTTTTTTGTTGTTGTTGCTTAAAACAGCTGCATTCTGTGGTTGAAAATGAGTAAATGTAAAAGTTTTAAAGCTTAGAGAAACTACAGAATCGAGTGATAAAATATTGTCACTCTTTAATTTAAGAATGTATTCCAGGTATTCAAAAGGTCCAGTGTAGTTGCAGATCTACCCTCCCTTTCCAAACGTGAAGGTGAAACTACGGTGGCCTTGACACAAGGAAAAAACACAAGCGCCCCTGTCTAGAGCGAGGGTTTGGTTTGTCCCTTCTGGGCTACTGTAGAAACATGGTGGTTCAAGATGGCAGACTTCAGGGAGGGCGACTCGCAGTGTCTGTA